ACCTATCTAAAACAGCATTCTTCTGCCACTCTGTTGCTTTTTTCTCCCTGCATTGCAATGATCACAAGTCGATGTCTGTTTATTGTCTGGCTTCCTCCACTATTACATATTCTCTACAAGAACAGGAATCTACTGTTTTGCAACTGCTTATCCTTGGCACCTAGAAAAACGCTGGCACATAGTAGGCATGTAATAAACATTATAATCAACAAGAAAATTCATTGGACAATGGTCACATGGCATTTTGAAGTGATTCGAAGTACCACTTAAGTCAGCCAATGTCTTCAGCAAGCATTCTGTACTTTGGAGTGTGGAAGACACCTCATGTGTTTAGCCACATCCATAAACTTACTCATGCTATAAGATTTTTGGAAATATATTGTTCTAACAGTCTTTATAAAAGAATGACAACAGCCACCCAGAAAGATTTCTGAGGAAAAGATAGAGCCTTTCTTGAAAAGACAATGCCCACTACTGGTTTCTGAGGACTAGACAAGGTGAAGGCCCATCCCTGGGTCAAGGTGGCATGGAATACTCTCCTGAAAGCATGCATTTGCTTGTTGTTATCTAAGAAATTGAAAGTACAATCCTGGGCTGGAGCTTTTTAGAGATCACATTGACTTTGATACATGTAACTGAATACTCACAAGTCAAACAAGATGGATTCATTGTATTTTATAAATCTTTTAAAGTAGGCAGATTTAGAGTTTATTAACTCTCATTAGAAAAATTTGTTCGAAATCTGTTGAGACGAAAGCCTCTATTTTTCTGCTTCTAGTACTTAAAACTGTTTAGAGATAAGCATGGTATTTAAATCTTTGAGATGTATAAAATTGTATTCAACAGCATTTTTAGACAAGGCATTAAGAATACTTTAAAATGTTTGTTCACTGCATCAATTTTAATTATACGCCACTGGACTCACAATACTTTGAAATGCTTTACAAAATGCCCCCGTGATGTTATATTAATCATAATACAAAAGAGCACCACCAAATTCAAAAGCTGTTTCTAACGCCGTGTAGCAACTTGCGTGTGAGCGCCCTCTTCTGTTCCCAGAGAATACCACAAAGTGCATTACATGGAATTCACAGCAATTCTGGGTACAAAATGGGCTTTTCAGGAAAATGCTAACGCACACGTTCATATTATTTAAATAAGCTATCCTTCCACTTGAGGTTTGGAAGGCTGTTCTGGAGCAGACACAGGAGGGGGATATGAGCGAAATTTTTCAATCCCGGAGATCTAATGGCGATTTGCATTTCTTCCCCAAGGAAGTCTCATAAAAACAAATGTTAATCTTTTAAAACACAGACTTCAGATGGTGAGCACACAATAGAGTATCCAGATGTCGCATATGAAGTTGTACACCTGAAATTTATATGTTATTAACCAATGTTATCACACTAATTTAAAAAATAAGGCAAATAGTCCGTTTTCCCTTTCCTTACAGATGGAACATGATTTTAAAGCCATATTACCTACATCTTTTATCTAAATTATTTTTTTGAAACTCAACTATTTGTTTGACCAGCAAATCTGTCTTGCTTTAAAAATTAATTTAAATTCGTATTTAGATGCCAGATCTAAGTAGGAACTTTTAAATACATTTATAACAAGAAAAACTTTTTGTTTCACATATTCTAAGGAAATATGCAGGTAATTAGGTTGAGCCCCATGAACTTGCCATCAAGAACGGTTAAATACTGGCCATTTCATACGGTCCAATCAAATACACTCACTCCTGAGCTTTAGGACCCTGGGTAAGGACACAGATGGGCGTTGGAGTAGAGTAGCTGCAGAGAATCGGAAGGAACTAAGAGAGACAGTAAAATCTAGTGGAACCACTGTGCGTCTACACAAAGAGGACAGGGCAGTCTAGGTTGTGCTGAAACAAAACAGGAAGAATTGATGGGTGAGAATGTGAGGGATTTTATTACAGATATAATCAGTTTATGCCACTTAATCCTTTTGTTGTTCCTGAATAACTAGAACCAAGCCCCATCAATTCCAGTAGTGGCTAAAACAGTGCTTAATGATCTACACCTCTATGAAGTTTTATTTCCTGATGTTGTGAAATTTAATAGCTAGATAAAAATTGATTTCAACACATGGCAGTGAGGGGAGCAGAGTCTACCACTCCAAAACGTTTTTTTTTTTTTTGGTGGGGGGGGCATACTAATTACTTTAAGTCAGTTATTTTTAAAAAGCGAAAGGCTCAGGAAGAAACTTTGACCTTCTCCCTAACTGCCTAAAAGAATTTAGATAGGGGATCTGTTCCAGGAAGAGAGCTATCATCATAGATAACTATAGTCTGATATGAAGTGTGACAGACAGGGATCTAGCAAGGCACATTAGATCAAAGTCCTGTGTCCATTGTTAAAGATGGCCCAGCAAACATTTGTTTACCAAACATGTGCTTTTCATCTCCATGTGAATTGCCTTCCTCCTCATTGAAGTGCCAAACCACAACCTCACCCCTTCTTTATCCTTACCTGTCCTTGGTTTCCCTACTCTTAAGGAACCCCCAAATGTACATATGTAATAAACTTGGTTATTTCCTTCTGTTAATTTGTCTCATGTTAATTTGATTATACCAGCCAGAACAATTTAGAAAGGTACAGAAAAAATTATTCTCCCTCTCCTATCACAGCAGCTTTCTTTTAAAAAGGGTAGGTGAGGAGGTTGTTAGGTTAATATTAGAGCTGATTTATCTTCATAGCTTTTATGGCCTCTCAAAACACACTTTATCTAAAATATATTCTGCACAACTGTATAAAAATAATTTTCTAAACTTTTTAAGAATTGTTTTAAATGCGTATGTATAATCATATGTATAATACTAGTTGGCAAAGTCTGAAAATTCCTTAGAATTCTCCTGTCCTGTTGTCAGAAAAAATTGAATGACTTTAAAAAGTAGATGTCCTCTCGAGCTCATTTATTTATCCAGGTTATCAATACCTTTCGGTCTTTTAGTTATTTTTCAACTCTGTAAATTTTAGAAAATGGATAATGTACATAATCCTAGTCTATTCAAATGCAAATTAATTGTGTGGTGGTAGGAGCAATTGATTATTATCGCCCTGTAGATAGATCCATTTTGCATCTATTTGTAAATTCATTTCAGAATTCCTTATCTCCTGTATGTCTCTCTGCTCCTTGAATTCTCCTTGGAACCAGTTGTAACTCTTAACAATTCCATTGTTAGTTAATGAATTAAGTAAAACCTTGGGCAGATACTCACATTATTTCTTATATCCTCTTTTGAAAGCCATCCTTTAACATCAGAAATTATAGTTTGGTAGTGTTATTTTTCCAGGATGTGCCAAGATGCCATGTTTACTGACTCCTTAATAGTAAAGCAGTACACATTCGCCTGACAGAGTCAATTGTTTAAGGTTACTGAAATTGATTTCGCACCTTAAAAAAAAATAGCCCCAGACTTTTCAAAAGAAGATATAAGTCCATCATACAGCAAGAATCATTAGAAATACATCTTTAATTTTAAAAACCCAATATGCAATCTACCAAATAGTTTGTTACACGATTATTAAGGCTCAATCTGTTTTATATTTGTATTGATATGACATAGAATCATATTTTAAGGTATAATATTTAATCATTATTAAAGAAGGCCTTCTAACTGAATTTATAAGAAAGGGGTTGCATCATAAGCCCAGTTCCAGAATAAAGAGAACTAAATCCTAGAACTGTCTAATATATAAATCAGGTATAAAAATTCCAGCATTTATGTATATGCTGGAAAGTATCTGTTTTCATACCTTTTTAAGTGGATAAACTATTTATATTCTCATAGGAAAAAAAAAAGTCCCTAAATTCTGATCTGTACAATTGATCGGGTAACCATCAAGCTATGAATTCATTTACACAGTTGATATGATCCTTTGACTGGCAAGGCAACCAGACCTGAACAATAAGAACAGGAAAACTAGTCAGAAACTGGTCAAGTCCTTAGAAGCCTGCTCTGTGTCAATCAAACAGCTGACCTCCAAACTGTCAAACTCAGGAAGGGTTGATCTAAATTACCTATATTAAGATGCTAGAAAGGCATAGTTCCTCTTTTACTCACTTCCTCCTCTCTTTTCGACCTTAAAAGCAGGGGTTTTTGTTATCATAGTTATTATCTTGAAGATCATCATTTACTTTCTAGCAAAGGAGATTCCACTTAATTTGTAATTCTAAGGGGACCCTACCTGATTTTTCACTTACAGGACTTATGGTCACATTTGACCTTCTGCCATTTCTGAGGTCAGAAGAATTGTATTTAAAAAAACCTCTCCTCCCTACACTGAATGTTAATTTAACACTAAGTAATGAATATTTAAGGATCCTAATAGATGTGCAAATTAACAATTATGCCGTAGCACCCCGCTGTTAATGCTATCAACCTTTACATTGCTGCAGAAACTCAATTTAGGCTTAGTCAGTGTTTTGTTACTAATTCCAGCGCTGAATCTTGAGATGCTCCTGAAGGCTGGGTGGCTGGTAAATAAATGACCAGCAGTGAGGTAGCCACAGATGCGGGGTAACCTGTGAAGCATGAGGAGAGATTAATTGAACCCTTTGCTGAAATTATTTTGAGGTGTAAATATTCATTAAGTTCATCTGAATCCGACTCTGTATTCTTTATGGGCAGGATTCCATAAAACAGATTTGAAAGTAATGGCAGTAATTAACCCAGCTGACTTCCCTGGAATTGTGCAGCAGCATCAGCTCCAGTCCGCCTCCATATTTATGATGAGCGGACTGAAGTCACTTCAGAATGTGCCATGCCAAATAATGGGGAAAGATGGTGGAATTTTTTTTAAATGACACACACAGAGATTTGCCCTCCTATACATCAACAGTGAGTCTCAAGCATATGATATTATGAGCAATGCATCAAGTGGAGTTAAAATGAACAATACCAATTCATTTTAACAGTCAACTTTTGCGTTCTTTGCCGTTACAGCAAAATAATGAAAAGCAATAAAATCTGCTGATTTATACAAACCATCATAAATGTTTGTTTTAATGTTTTTGGAACAGATTACAATGAACGTAATACAATATTAAATAAAACATAAGACATAAACTCTCGGCCGACAAATAAATGTTGTTTGGAAGAACATTATTATATCGGTTTTGACTCAACACAAATCTAGTAAATAGAGAAAAATACCTCCTAATCATATTTAAGATTCAACATAAATTGAAGGTGTATTAATATCATATGAGGACTAAAAAATATCCAAAAAATAGGTTACACATTTTTAAAGTTTAATCTTTTGCTGTAAATATTGAAAGGAAGTTATAAACAGAATTATAACTGCTAACACCAGACTTTTCATTAGAAAACACTTACCTGACTTTGAAAAATAAAAATGTTACCTCTTAGAAATCCAGGTAAAACAATCTAGTATCTTTAATTTTGTTCATCTTTTAAAGAAAAATACTCTAAATTTAAAGTATTAGCATAAATAGGATGACAGCAGAACTAGCATAAAATAATCGTAATATGACTTAGACTTCAAGAGTCTTGTGTTAATTACAAATAATACTTTATCAAAATACAGTATCTTAGAGTCTGTACTTTTGGGAAACAATATTCATGAACTTTAAAAATCATCTTTAATGCACATAAATATTTTAACTAGCATCCAATACTGGGATTCCATTTTAAAAGGAAATTCTCCAAGCAAAATGCAATATGTCTTAGTGACTCGTACTAAAATATGTATATCAACAGAAATAACTTCTTTGCAATACACACCAGAATACAAATATATTTTTTAAATGATAATACCATGGGGGAAAGACAGGTACCAGACATAGCTGATGATAACTCACCAATGTGGTAAGAGGACAGGAAGATAAATAATTCAAAATCACAGATACTTCCACAACTCCATTTTAGCCTGTGGTTTCAGCATCATTCTACACCTAGCCACACTTCAGAGATGAGCAAGAGGGAAAATTAAGTATTCGGGTCTATGTTTCCTTTGTTTCACCTTCCGGTACGGGTGCTAACATACCAAGAAGAGACAGGGACTAGAGGATAATAAATATGGCATCTGGGTGAGCCAGAGTGCAAAACAATCAGCCACTGAGTAACCAAAAATCAAAAACACTTTAGCCAAGCTGGTGGTTGGGTCAATTTCAATAGGAAGCAAAACATCACGCAAATTATAGATACATTTTAGATCAAACCCATAGGGTGCAAACATATCAAAAGCATAAAATATAGATTATTTGGTTTTAGGTCTAAGCTTCTCTAAACAGAACCAATGGATCTGTCTTAAGCCCTCTCTTCAGAAGTCATTTCCACTATACAATAGCAGAACCGTGTGTGGTTTCTGTGAATTACATATTTGAAAAGTGGGTCATCGTCATTAACTCTTGCTACTCCTACTGGGTTACACAGGCACCAGCTTTTTCCGGGTCTTCTCCATCGATTTTAATCCACTTCTTTTCTATTTCAACCTGTTATGCAAAAGCAAAACATGGACAGCATTAACAAAGGCAACACAGCACTAACATCTGTTCAGTTCTACCTCATACATGAGGCAAGGGCTAGAGCCACCTCATCCTTGGACACAGACACAGCCTGTCTACCCTCTCATGTTAGTTCCATAGTGAGGCACTCTGCTGTCCTTTTGGGCAACAAACCCTCCCCACCCACGGGATCTTCCTTCCCTCTAGCGTCAAATCTTGAAGAGAACTGAAACTCTCCTCTCTTCTAAGTCAAACATAGGTTTTAGAAATGTATACAGAATACCTATGTTGATAAGACATTTAGAGATCTGGCTAAACATGTGATCAATTATACCCCCATATCATATATCCAGGCTTTAGCCCACTTAACATTTATAACACCCCCAAAATCATCTCTTTAATAAACTAAAACAAACTAGTTTACAAACTAGTAAACTGAGCTGAACCAACTGCCTACGCCTCATCTTTTTCATCGCAACGTAAGCATTAAGTGGCCTTCCTGGAACACTCTCGATAAGGAAGCCCTCCCTCACTCTCTGTCCCATTACCCCATTTTATTCTCTTCTTAGAACCTGTCGCTATTTGAAATTACATTATTTATTTATTCACTAATTATTTCTTGTTCCTCCACTTGAAAGTAAGCTTCATGAGGACAGAGACCTGTCTCTTACTCACTCCTGTGTCCCTGGCATCTAGATCAGCACCTGTCACATTAAAATTGTTCAATAAATATTTATTAAATGGAAGATGATATTTCAAAACCGATTGCCACCAAGTGCAGATCAACTAGTAAATGCTATCAAAGTGAAAGAGACTTTATTATATAATTTTGAGTGTCCTCTAAACCTGTGTGAAATTGGCACATCCCAAGAAAAGGAAAATAGGTATGAATGAAGTTTCCATGTGCATTTGACCCACATTTCAGTCACACATATTTATACACCTAGTGCTACAAGTCGAGTTTCCCAAGAAACAAGCTCTGAGATGGAGACTGATATGCAGTTTACTGTGGAGTGCTGTTGGGGTCAACACCTGTTGGGGAGGGGAGGGAAGGGAAAGAAGCAGAATGGGAAGAAGGAGAAGTTGGGCTGCAATCCAGTCACAATAAAAGCTTCAGCAGACACCTAGAGAGAGCTGAAGCTAGGATGGCCCTGCAGAGTTATCCCGAGCTGAGGAAAAAGGGTCTTTATATCCCTATATCCATTAGTCACTGGACCAAGGCAGTTTTCTTCAGCCAGGGCAATTCCCAGCTGCTGGGGGAATAAGTGCTTTGGTCCCCAAGGTGCTACACGGGACAGCAGCCACCCATCATTAACTTTAGCTATAGAAAAAATAATCAATGGACCCAAACATATAGACTTCTAAACAGATGGTTCAAAATAAACATATTACTGTATTATAGAACCACCAGTTGGTGTTTATGATGTTTTATATAATCATACTATTTTTTAATATAAATAAATGAGTGGAAAATCTGAATGGCACTAATCATAACTGAGATTCAAGTAACATAAGATTTTAAAATGGTATTAAAAAGTATAAAATGCAACTCATGTGCAAGAAAAAAGGAAAATATATAAATTCTAAACTGAATCAACTGCTTGTTATTTGCTGTTTAATTTTTGTGATTTTTGAAATATTTTCTAATTAAATATTATATTTGTAAACAGAACCACTAATGTCACCATTTCAAGATATTACAGGAAATGTGCGGCAGAGGTTCTCTCTGTATTTACTATCTTTGAAGCTGAGAAGAAAAGCCAGTTTAGAGACAGGTGCAAGTACACGTCACTCTTTAATTCATCTGGCCCAAGAATGCAGAAGCACTCATGGCAAACATTTATTCAAGTTGTTATAACAGAGTAACTCAGCATTTCCCAAGGGGTGCTTCACAGAATACTATCCCAGAAGATATGGATAGATGTTTTACATGCACATATATATGCCCCAAAGGCAAGATGCTATAATCAATGAGTTGGGCAAAATAGGGTTAACAAGTTTCTTTAATGCAGGACTTCTCAGAACCTTCATTAAACATTAATTTAGTGTATGACATTCCTGAACTTATTTTTCCTTGGCTCATTATATGGGACCCTTGTTCCACAGACAATTGGGCAATGCTATTCTAATATAATTTATATTATAAATATGCTTCTGAAACGTGAATTCATTTCTGATGCCATGTTTTTCATTAAGATCTGAATTAAGTACATGGCACTGTGTGCTCAGGTGCCTAATGTTCTCTAGGATTGAGGGGGAAGAACTAGGCTCACTGATGACCTTCAGGTTTGGATGGTCAGGCTCTTTAGGTCAAATACACACACACTCACACACATACATGGTCACTTAAGAGGGCAAAGCAAATATTCAAAGTAAGATCAGGTCCCAGCTCTAGAAGCCCCACCTTGAGCCAGTCGGCTTTAGGAGGTACCTGAATGTTGTAGCAAGCTCGCTGATGAACGTGTTTCTGTGGCTGGACATCACTCTCCACCCCCAAAGACCTGACCTCTGTCCTTGAGGCACAGGTGTCAAGCATCCCAAACTGAACAGTAGCAAATGGATACCAATCAGAGGGAATTTCTTGATCTGATCCAAGTTCTAGTTTGTATGACAAACAATGGGGATGATCAGGACCTTGAAGAAAAAAATCAAATTGTCAAAGTCTTTCAATGGCCCTTAAACATTTCTCTTGAATCTAAGAGGCACCGATCCCTCTCTTTAACAATGAATTCCATCAGCACTATGGCAGTGTGAATCCCATTTGAACAAAATACCATCTAAATTCCCAATTCTGCAATAACTAGGGGGAAATCTATCTGCATTTTTTAAGTACTAGCTTTAAAATAAGTACAACTTTATTACTATATACATGAATATATTAACTCCTAAAAATGTTTTCTATTAGTATATTGTTTCTTTAATTAAGAGATAAGTGATATATATTAAGTATCATTATTTAGCTACAATGTGCATAGGATCTGTAAAAAAACTTTCTTAATAGACTGAATAAGCTCTTATATTAACTCTTAATTTATTTATTTTCTTACTACTTCTTTGGACAGTTAATGCAAAGGTAAACTTCAACCTAAATTAAGTCACATTATAAAAAATTCTTATTTTTTAAAGTTAATGAAATTTTACTACTTTTCAGAAAATATTCTAGGCCAAGAATTCCTTTTTTCAGCAGAACAGATTATATTTTAGTATATTAATTTTCACTCATCTTCCTTAAAGCTTTGAGTGGAACAGATGCACAGTGCAGAGATGGGCATATTGGCTTTCAATGTTTCAATCTATTTATTTTCATTTAATTCAATTTGCTATTTATTGAGCATCTACTCTATGCCAGGCCAGGCTCTGTGCCAGACCAAGAAATGTCAAATATATGCAAAGATTTTAAAGTATGGTCATGTACTCTGTGTGTGTGTGTGTGTGTGTGTGTGTGTGTAACAATGAAGTAAAAAAAATATTTTTATTATAATCACTGTATTAACTTTATAAATGTTCCATGATTCTGTTGCATTGTCCACAGCATCTACATATCCAATGCAGCTATCTTTACTTAAATAAATGTATGAGGTGAGAGTAATTTCAAAAGCTAGAATTAAATTACTGTAGCACTGACATAGTTTCAGAAAGAACATTTCCATCAGAATATAGCTTTAGGCACAGAAACAAGAGTTTAAAGGATTTCACTTAATTCTTAAAAGATAAATTGCCTTTCATTCTTTACAACCTGTTTCTTGTAGAGAAACTAATAGAATTCTAAGACTGTAAAAGGCCTTGAGAAGTCATCAATCAATTAACCAACAGAGGCTCATTATCCATCCCTAACACTTACATGTAGGGTAGGACAATCGTGGCCTCTGAGGTGCTCTAAGCTACCCAGATCACTGCAGGCAAGTGATAACTTTATTCACACACACACACACATACCCAGGAGAGATTCCACAATCCATTACCCTTTCTAGTCTTCTGCCTGCAGTGAGGACACAGTAAGCTCATTTAAACTTAATTCAGGTCCTCTTATGTCCTCTATGGCACAGTGGTTAAGAACACAAACACTGGACCAGATTGCCCAGAGTCTAATCCCAGCTCTGCTTACTTAACAGTTGTGCAATCCTAGGCAAGTTACTTGATCTCTCTGAGCCTCAGTTTCCCCATCTGAAAATAGGAATGAAGATGATAATAATAACATGAACCTTATAGGATTGTTGTAAGGATAAAACAAAGCAGTCAGCACACCTAGAGCATTAAAGCCATGCATGGTACACGATAGTAGTGTAGATATAAGTGCAGGACATACATGATCACTTTGCAAAGCACTATGTGATTATAAATCCAATATTATTGATTACCATAATTTTGCTAATGAAGGGACTGTGAATTCTACACTTTTAAAGCTGAAAATAATATTGGAAATGATGTAATTTGATATTCACATTTTAAAGGAAGAAGCTTTTTGGAACCTTTTGCAAAATTACCTAATTGAAGACCTATAAAATTACAAGATCTAGTACTCTAAAGGTATCAGAAATAAAACATTTCTACCTGCTTTTCTAAAAAAAAAAAAATGATAAAAGATAAAGGAGTGCATTGTTTAAGTTTTCTGACATTCTTCCCAGCTTTTAAAAACTCGCAATATTCTACAATGCTTAATAACACACCCCCTTCCCTTTAGACTTTGATCTCCATGATGAAAGGATCATGTCTGTCCCTTGGACAATGTCTGGTACATTTGGGCTCAAAAGATATTTGCTGAATTTACAAATAAATGAATAAAAGATAGAAAAAAACTGTTATTTAATCTCAGTACTGACCAGCAGGGGGCACTCTCAGGCTTTGGTAATTGTTATTCTCAGAACCAAGTTCTCAGCACAGGGAATGCAAATGACAAAATCTATTTAGGTCTTGTCCATACCTGGGCCCTCTTGAACCAAAATATTTCACATCTGAAACTGAATTGTTGAGAGTTAGAGGGTACAAATGGAAGGAGGATGACACAAGTGGAGGAGGAGAGAGCAACGAGTGTGCTGATGACAGAGAGCAAGGAAAAAAAGTAAAGCCAAATTAAATTTTAAAATTGGTAAAATTGGAAGGTAGAGATATATATTCATTAATTGACCCTCCACCTCTCCCACTCCCCTTTCTACTTCTGTGCCACCATCTGCACCTCCTCCGGCTAACTAGTGTTCTCATTCCTCCTCCTCTTTCTCTTCCTTTCCCTCTCCATCCACCTCTTTTTCCTCTCCTCCACTCCTCCCACCCCTTTAGGCCCCACCAAAGCCTGTCCTCAGGAAAGGCTCCTCTATTCCTCTGCTGTCATTCACACCTTAGTCTGAACGAACCACCTGAGCTACCTGCCCAAGGCCAACCTTTGCTGTAAAATGAAAGACTTGCCCACTGTTAAAGGAATATTAAATGTTGACATGCTAGTAGAAGAGACATTTAAGGGGCCAGCAGCCCTTCCTACCTCCCCTGAAATCATATATAAGTAAAAAAGAAGTCTATCCTGATCCCAAAAATCCACAGGAAAAATAAATTTTAAAAATGTTTAAATTAGTACCTGGTAAACTAGTTCATATATTCTCTTTCATTTTCCATATTTAAAAAAAATTTTTTTTAAGAAACTAGTTTGAAATGGGTAATGTTTTAAAGACTTTTAAAAAAAATACTGTCTCTATAAACACTCAATTGATTTAAAAATCATATAGAAAAATAAAGATGCATTCTAAGACCCTGTTACTCTAAATGTGGTCCGTGGGCCTGCAGCACTGACCTGAGAATGAGTGAGAAACACTGTAAAAAATGCTGATCCAGAATCTACATTTTAACCAGGTGATTCCTGTGCACACAAAAGTTTGAGAAGCACCGACTTGGGACAAAGATTTCCTCTCTGCCCCAACCTCACTGTTTCTCCTCTAAAAGCAAATTGCCAGGTACCCTCTCACCCTCTGCGTTACCCTCCTCTACTCCCACAACGTGAAGCCAAGACAGGACCACACAATCCCAGCCCCCTTCAGAGCCACTCCATGCCACCCAGACTCTACTTGACACAGCCCCACTCCACTGCCTGTTCCAGGGGCCTCTTCTTTGCACACAGATTTCATCTAAACAAAGCAGCTTTGATCCCGAAGGATTTATTCAGTAAAGTATCACTGTATAATTGACTGGAATGTTTGTAAAATATTGTTCTGTGTGGGCCTGGTGCTATTAAAGTCCTCAAAAGGAATTCCTGAAGGCCAAGATCAAGTCTGGCAGCCTCTCTGGGGATACTCACTCTTATAATTGTTCTCAGTGAGCTCAACTGCTAGTAAATACGATGAGAGAGCAATAACAGAGCTCTAGAAGACACAGGGACACAGAGCGGGTAGGGATGATCTCTGCCTAGAGGACCACAACAGCTTCCACAGGAGGTACCAGGTCAGTAGTTCTCAATCTTGGCTTCCTGAGAGCCTTGTATAAATGTTCATACCTGGGCCTCCCTTGCCCCAGTCATGGTTGGGACAGGGCCTAAATATGCTCAGAATGTCTCCCTTCCTACCAGCCACCTGTGCGCATACAATCGACTCCTGAATCTCTCCTCTCCAATGAAGGCCTGACTTTCTCAAACGAGGTATGACTGTCACAGACAGAGTGCCTGAAAACACTTTGGAAACCCTGTTGACAAACCACACCCCAACGCATGGTTCCCAAGTCCTTCCTATGCTGGTTTCCCCTCCCACCATACCCTTGGTCCTAAAATTAGGCACGATCTCCTGTCTACACTGTTTCTATCCTTGATGGACTCCTACTGATTCTTCTGATCTCCTGCCTACACAGCTGTGTCTCTGCTGTTTCTATCCTTGATGGACTCCTACTGATTCTTCCATGCCAAACTTACCCAATCCCTCCTCCGCAAAGCCTTCCTGAGTACCCCCAGTGGTTTATCACTCCTTTCTGAGATCCCTATTACATGTACATGCCTGGAATAGAGCACATTTCCACAGCACATTTGGAGAGCAGCTTCTGGATTTGTCTCACCTACTAAGACTGTTACATTTCTGGATAGCAGGGATCACGTTTGCCTTTGTATCTCCCAAGGGCCCAGCACTGGGTGTTTGTGGAATGAATGAGGTTAATTAGGGGATCTAAGCTATGAGCCCTCTTGTCAATAAATTCCTGTTGACTGAATCAATTAACTATACATCAGCTCACAACAGTGTTATAAACTGGATCATTTTCACAAGCTTTATAGGATGTTCCCCTTCCAAAATCTGAAAAATAAGTGTGGCAGCCATGGAAGAGTTGCCAGAGTGCCTGCTCTGAGGCAGAGCAGCCTTGGAACGGGCTGTTTAAGAGCCTGAATCCCTGCCTCTCTGAGAAGCCAGCACGCTGAACCCTTTTGTGCTCCTCTCTCAGGAACATAATTAGTACTGCGAATCTATGCAAAAGCCATGTTTGGCCTTTTGTTCCAATCTTAGTGACCATCTCTAGGACCAAAGGAAAATGACAGGGGTCAGGTCACCAGCCAGACCTCAGGGGAGATCTAGGGACCCAGGTCCAGACTGCCTTCCTCTCTTCTCCCTTTTAGTTTAGCAAAATAAAAGGCAATGATATTCCGATTTTCATAACTCCTCTCTCCTAAAAGTAGCACAAATGATTTTTAGAATAGATCATTTGGAAGCTTGTGCTCAAAACCTCAAAACTTGTTTTTCTGGGATAAAGATAATCTGCAAATGGTTTTAACTTGCTTCTCCAGCAGAGTTATAAAAAGCAGGAAACATTACCTCTGTGGATTATGTCATGACAGACATTCCCACCACACTAGAGTTGACCAGGAGGTGCCATCAGAGGCCATGCACTGTGACCAAGCTATCCCACCCCCACCTCACCCTGCCCTGAGCTTGAGCTGCCCTCACTAGTCCTTGGGACTAAAACCGTAACTAATGTGATTCATGAGAATTTTGCAGAGCTGAATTTGGCATTGATGGAGAACAGTGGGGGGTATCATGGAGGTCTACTGTTAGGGTGGGGGGCTTACCTTCTGAACAGGGGCCCGGGGCTCCTCAGACACCTGGCTGTCTCTCTTGCCTGCTGGACCCTGTCCATAGCCCAAGCTACAATCAGTTCACAGATGTTAAGCCAGCAAACTGCAAGTCAGAGGCAAGGTGGTGCTGTACCCTCCAGGGTGCGGTCCATGCCGCTGCTCCCCATGTTCACTGTAGTTTGGAGCTCGCTCCTCCTGCCCCAGGACTGAGGGTCCCAGAGAGCATGGCTCTCAAGCCAGGCCACACATTAGGTTCACCTCGGGGGCCTTCAAAACATATGGGTGCCTGGGCCCCTCCCCCAGAGATTCTGATTTAATTGGTTAAAGTGGAGCCTAAAACATCAGGAATATTTAAAAGCTCTCAGGCTATTCTAACATACAGCCAGGTTTGAGAAACACTGGTACAGGGCCATCCTGAATTAAAAATGCTTCCTCTGAAGTCCACAGCCTGGACAGTCTATGATGAAATTAAGTTTTCCTGAAGGACCAGACTAGCTGTGAGCTTTTAGGAAGTAGAGCTCCGATCTTATCTTTAGCCCCAGCTCCTGATGGGGCACTTGGTGTACAATAAGTGCTCAGTAAAGATCTGGTTGAATCAATTAATCCATCAACTCAAACCCCCTAAATCTGCCCCCAATCTAGCTCGACAGTCCAGTGTTCTGCTAGAAATAATAAAACTAAATCAGGGAGCAGTCTTAATTTCAAAAAATTTTTGCTCCATTATATTACTCCCACTATCAACTTACTTCTCTAAAATAAATGTGGTACTAGGACTCTTTTCAAAGCTCTGAACATCTAGGTTAATTGTTTTCTTTGCAAACACTTAAAAAATTAACTGAATTTTTAATGCTTAGGTTGTATCTACCTAATTCTGAAATGACTAGTTGACATGGACAAATTGGTCAACTCAGCAAAGAAATCAATTTGGGTAAAAACGAAAAGCAGTCTTAATTCAAAAAGCAGGGAGCAAAAATCTAAGGAGGAAGTAGTACTAGTTGAGAACGCTAAAATGCCCAGGTAGACCAATAGGCGGCAGATCTTTAAAGGTTAATTAGGGAATCTAAGCTATGTGAGCAATATTTTTAATATTTGAGGTTGACAACTGATGTGTAGAAGTCAACTACACATTTTCCTTCAGTGCCACCATCTACAACAAAATCCTGGCCAAGGATGGTATTTACGATACTTAGAAAAAAAAATGTAAGCTAAATTTATCTGGTGGAGACAGGTATAAGAGGATGAAATAAATTAGCTGTGGGACGAAACAGTCCCTCGCCCACCCGCGATATATAAGCATGGCTTCAGCGGACGGAAGTCACCATCCGTCTCAGCCTGGTCTCCACCCAAGGAGGAGGGTGGAAACTCTGAAGCTATGTCACACGAAAATCAACCTGGGGTGCTGAATATTTACTTGAATGTTTATCAGGAAGCCGGTCTATCTTCCATACCACGGCCCGGTAGGCACTCTCATATTTTGCTGACCCCACAGTGACCTGTATGACAGGCTCACATTCAGGTTCATGTAAATTCCCCAGACATGCCCGGCGGTTCATTTTGGCTTTCAGGGACTTCTGCCTCTGGAGGTTCATGGTCCAGAGGGCCTTGATCCACTGTGATGGGACAGGAAAGTGTATCATTATGTTGTCGCAAGACCTCAAGGAACTGGTGTGGGGTGGTCTCTGTGCCGATGGGGTCATGTTTACAAAGGCCTGGAGCTCCACATATGCTCCCTGGACAACCACGACAGACTTCAGAGAAAAGGGAAGATCTTCCCCATTGTACAAAGTCTTGAAACGCATCAGCTCAAAACGGCAGGCATCCAGAGGTACAAACTTAATGATTCTTGATTGCTCAAATTCTTGTGCTTTCACACACTTATGAAAACAGTAGTCAAGAATATCGATCCCCTTCTTTTCTGGGTCTTTTTCAAAATACTGTTCATTTCGCTTCTGCAGCTCAAGATCATTCAATGTTAAAAAGCATTCCGCGTTGCCATTCACAAAGCAGAGGCAACAGATTTGAGTTATCACAGCACTTTCAACCAATTTTCCTTCTTCTTTAGTGATTTTACCCCAAAAGTTGTCCACAATGTCCAGGGAAATTTCCTGTTCCTCGTAGCTCCGCTTTGGTTTTGAAACAGCTGGCAGCTTCATCAGCTCTTCCTCTACAGTAGTCAGAAAGTCGAGGAAGTCATGGTGCTCTGTGGACCCCAACTTCAGCATCTGTTCTATGTCTGGCTCGTGGACTACTTCTGTCTTAGAATGGTATTTTCTTTTTTCTGTGTAAGACACATGTTCAATCTTCACAGTATGGATTTTTCCTGCCACACTGAAATTCTCGAGTTTGGGTTCAGAAAGCCTGCAATGTGGATCGAGCTGTAACTCTCTAAATGGTTTTTCTAACCCCTTCTCATAATACATTTGTAAAATTCCTCCAGGTAAGACTTTTAAGAAAATTGGTCCCCACTGACGAGAAGACATCATGTTCTTCTTCTCAGGAATTCTCAGCATGAAAGACCATCCTGTTTTGGGCCGGCTCCTGAAGAGCGTGTGGGGAACAAAGGAAGAGGCAGTGTCTCCGGCATACAGACGTGGCATAGACAAATTTCTAAATGATTCTTCATTCTCAGCTGATTGGAGATGCTCAAGCTTCTCACAGATGTAGTTGAGTGAACACTGATTTAAGCTTTTTTGATCAATGGGCATCTCTTTGTCTCTCGGCAGCAACGTTTTTCTGCTTCCTGGAGGGTCAAAGGTGAACTGGGAAGCACTGCCTTCATCTTTCCAAAATGGACTTGAAAAGGCACAATCCTCCCGAAAATACTGAAACTGGAGAGCATCGCTTCTAGCCTGAGGAGGGGTAATTTCATCTGCAAGATTGACTTTGGGAGCTGGATGTGTACACGAGCGGTCATCGGGTAAGGAAGCAGGGGGTAAACAGGTTGGTTTAGCAGGCAACACGGAAGAATCTGCACCTGGTGTTATGAGGGGACTGTTTGAAGATAATTCTGGAATAGGATAAAGCACGTGAGTCCCTGCTTTAGAGATGCCAGGAAAACCTGGGAAGTCTTTGGTCGGTGTAGAGAGAGGAGAGTTACTTGGAGGTCCTGGACTGAAGTAAAAGTCTACAATGGGAGAGGAGAGAGGGGTACTGCCAGTGGAGGAAGATCCACTGGGAAATTCCTTAGGACCGGAAAGGTTCAGCTTAAGTCCGTTGGGTCTACAGATGCCTTGATTCTCGAGAGGGAAATTCTTTGACTTTTGAGAAGACTGGAAAGCAGTGTCGTCATCAAATGTGACCCAGTTGCCTGGGTTTGTAGAACACATCTTTGAAATCAGATTGTGATCTTGTCAATGAATCAGATATGTTGTCTCTGTTAAAGGAGAAAGAGAAAATAAGAATATGAAATGAGGGGGAAAATTCAAGTTACTAGAGGTCTTTAGTTCTGAGGAAAAAAGCACCCAGATTTCTAGGTTAACTGAGTCAAAGTCATAGACGCGGAATGTCGAATGGTGGTTACCAGGGGCTCGGGGAGCAGAAAACGGGGTGTTGCTGTGCAACAGGTATAGAGTTTTGATCATGCAAGATGGAAAAGTTCTAGAAATCTGTTGTATGACGATGTGCATATAGTTTACAATACTGTACACTTAAAATTTTGTTAAGAGGGTTTTAAGAATTATTTTTATCACCACTAAAAGAAAAACCTTCAAAACTTTTAAATCAATTCAAAAAGACTTTATTTGAATAATTACTATGTAGCTAGACCTTGTTAGTGCTATAGAAAACACAACAGAAGATAAAAACCCAATTTATAATGAACTTGTCATCCACTGACAGCCCCAAAACATGCATGAGGTTTACAGTTCAGAAGCATTTTCAAATTCATGATCTCATTTATCAAAACCACCCTAGGAGGTGCATATCATTAGTCCCGTTTCATAGCAGAGATGACTTAGGTTTAGCATCATTGCCTAAAGTCACCCGACTGGTAAGAGGCAGAACTAGAATTTTTTTTTTTAATAACAGCTTTATTCACACACATAAAATTCACACATTCTTTTTAAAACAATTCAGTGATACTTAGTACATTCACACAGTTGTACAACTATAACCACCATCCAATTCCAGAACATTCTAATTACGCCAGAAATAAACCCTGCACCTACTAGTAGTCATTCCCCATTCTTCCTATCCCCTGGCAACCACTAATTTACTTCATTTTTCTATGAATTTGCCTCGTCTGGACATTTCATATAAATAGAATCTACAATATATAGCCTCTTCTGTCTGGCTTCCTTCAGTCAGCATATGTTTTCAAAGCTCATCCATGTTGTAGTATGCATCAGTATTTCATTCCTTTTTATGGCTGAATAATATATCATTGTGAGGATATCCCATATTTTGTTCACTTATTCATTAGCTGAGGGACATTCGGTTTGTTTATTTTTATTTTTATTTTTATTTTTTTACAAATAATACTGCTATAAGCATTTGTGTATAAGATTCTGTGTGATTGTTTCTCTCGGGTATATACCTAGGCCTGGAAAGAACCAGAATTTGAACACAGGTCATTTCATGTCAATCTAATATAACCTAAATTATTGAAATTATTCTAATGACAACAGAGGCAATGAGCTATAAGGGCCACAGCACGGACCCGGGGTTGGGTACCCAACTTCTAGGCACTGCTCTGGCACTCACTCCAGACATTCAGTGATTAGCCTGGAATCGTCTCTGAGTTTTTTCTGACTCTACAGCAATTCTATGGTGGTTGACATCCAGCTGAAATTTTTTTCAAAAGCAGAAATTGTGCTACCGCTGGGGTTTTTTGACCAAAACTCCAAACTGAAAGTAAAACTCCATGAGATCTACTGATGGGAAAACTCAAACCCTGCTGGAATAAAGGCCACGAGAAAGGCATATTTTCTCCCTTCTTGTGGATAATGAAGGCTCAACCAATCAATCATTCAGGCTTGGAAAAGAGCCAACACAGAGAGGGCGAGAGGGCCTGGGGCTCCACTGGGGACAGGGCAGCTCAGTGTTGTCATTTGCTAAATCAGCACATTCTTGAGGGCACAAAACCCACAAGGGAGCAGCAGCGCAGGCCAGCTGGCTCTTTCTAGGGGGCATTTCACTGTCACTGTCCTGGGGCTGCAGCTGCCATAAAGCACTTTGTTTTCAGGGCAGGAAGAGCAGTGTTTCAAGGGACCGCCAGAAGCCTTAGAGTCTGGAAATCTGCAGCAATACTTCTTGACCCATTTCACTTCACCCTCTTCAGAAGGAATCCAGCCAAAATAACTCTTCATATAGGGTGAGAGATTATGTAAATATTTACTTTTGTTGAGTTTATTAAAAAGAAAGAAAAAGAAAACCAAGAGAAGAAATAATTCAGCTTCAGACTGACTCCTGATCTAAACCAAACATTTTGCCTCATCTGTTTTCCACTGGTAGCTTCAAAATATGAAACAGTCACACATTGGTTTCTTCAGTTTTTGCTTACTGTGGAGAAAAGTGATATCCATAAACCAGATAAAGAAATGAATCCCATTACATTTTAAGTGACCGCTGAACTTTAGAAAGCACACCTTGCAAAAAATCTAACTTTAATGCAAAAATCTATGCAAAACACATTCTTCCTCCTACACGGGCCTCTTCCATATGAGGCGCTCAACAAACGCAATGTAAGTGTAATTCGACCAAACAGAATCCTGTATTGTGCCCAACGGGAACCCAAACCTCTGTCCCTGTTTAAACAGTAAAACTTAGATGCCGCTCTGCAGTGAGAGGCTAAGACTCCAGACCCTGTGGTCACGGGCAGGTTTGTTTCCCCGCTATGCTCCTCTTTCTCTTCTCTATCCCTCTTGCTGCTCTTCCTTATCAATCCTTTTTATACTCGTTTCCATTTCTCTCTTACCTCTATCTGATCTCATCTTTCTATTCTAGTCTCAAAGCAGCAACTAGTCAGTTTTTCCCAAAGTCAACAACTAGAAGCAATTCCATCCAGCATTTTTCATCTCTTTCCTTCCCTCCTAACCCATCCCCACCCCCCAGTAGGGTAAGGGGCCACATCCTGTCCAGAGCCCTGATCTGTCCGAGGCCACCTGGGTCTCAGAGAGGGATGAGAAAGCTCAGAGTCGAGAGGTCTAGAATGCGTCTTCTTTTAGTCATCTGCAACTTCATCCCCATCTACTTTAAGACACATGAGAGTATTCAAGCACCAACACCTATTTAACCTCAGTATTTTTTTTTCTGCACTCAAATGGGATAGGCCTCCCTCCCAGAGGGCCGAGTCCTCCCATTTACAGTCTTTTCATAGGCAACATCTCACTTAGATTTTATGACAATCCAGAATGGACCACAGCATTTGAACGCCTTCTCGAAAGTCCAGGATCCAATTAGTACAGAGCTGGAAACCCAGGAGTCCAGCTGCCTTCCTCTGAAGCAAAAATTCCTCTGGCTCAATTCCCTGGCTTTTTCCTTAAATGTGAATTCCATCACACCCTACATGCCCCAGTCCTTTCAGAGGTCTGTTTTCGGTCAATCTGGATTATCCTGCCAACTCCTAGAAAATAATTCCAGACAAAATTCAGAGACAGGGCAAGAAATCAATCTCTGAGTTTGAAGGTTTCCAGGGGAGTGTTTGCTTCCCCTTAAGACTTAGACATTCTTTTCGGCTGCCTATTTTCAAAGCTGTTTCAGAATACATTGAACTCAAGATCAAATTGAAAGTAAATGCACATGCCAGCTCACACTGGGAATAACAAGGATCTAGGCAGACCATGGTTTCCAACCTCTCGCCTCAACACATGTGACAGATAGCATTTGACAGCCTAGCATATTCTCTTGGAGGTTCACAGAGTTTAACAACCCCCCAAAATATTTAGGTAAGCCTTAAAACAATTAATTATCCCCACCATGCAAAATGTCAAATCGGCAAAAGAAGGCCCCAGGCCCTAGTCAACAGAGAAAGGCTTCACTTACACACAATTCCTGCATTCCATCCCTTTCTTCCACTCAAGAAATACTGGAATCCTTAAAGAGTATTACAGAGATTACAATAAATTTATTCTAAATTGTTTTAAAAAGAAAATCTTTCACAAATAGTCACGTCTTAAATACTAAAAATATTGCAAATTACTTGCTGTAAGCCTTATGCATAAGAAGCACTGGCATGGAAAAGTGGTCTCACCAAAAAGAATTTGGGAACAAAACTTTCAAGTTATTGTAGGAAAAAATCATATATTCTTTGAGAGTCAGAGTGAGGCTTTCTCAGGGAGGGATCATGTCTCATTCAATAGGGCATCTTCCACATTGCTCCAAATGTCTGACAAAAGTAAATTTTCAACTGAATAATTTTAAATGGTCTATTCAGTTTTCCATAAAATAAATCTCTAGGCTATTACCTTCCCCAGTTCAAAGAACCACTGAATTTTAGGGTTAGGCATAAACTGGAAGTATTCTGTTCAACTAACCACACCAACATTTATCAAGTATTTACTATGTGCTCATGGCAAGCTAAGGGCTATATGTGCATGATCTCATTTAATCCTCACAACTCCATCAAATAATAACACATTTTGTAGAAGAGGAAAATAGGCTCAGAGAGGTTAAGCTACTGTCTAAAGTCACCCAGCCAGTAAGAGGCATACCTGAACTGTGACCAGATCTGCCTGATCCCAAAGTCCACGCTCAATGCCACCCACCACCCCAGAGGGTCCCAAGAGATCCGATGACTGGCTGATGTCCATATCTTAACTGCCACTTTTAAGTACTTTCCACCACTCAGCCCTTTACTAAGGAGAGAGCTCCAGAGTAGGAGCCACCCCTTCCTGCAGCCAGAAACACTCTAGACTAGAAGGATTTGGTTCTCACCTGAGAGAAGCCTATTTCTCCACAAAGCTCACCACATGTATCTGCCGCTGGACACCACAGGCTGTGGGAAAGGCAAGCTCTGAGACAGTGTTCCCCATGAATGCTCAAGAACAACAGCAGCTCAGTATCAATTTGGGTCAATTCTGAGAATGGCTTTCATCACTCGGCCTGCCCTACTTCTGGCCCTTCTCAACTGCATCAACTGGCCAGCCCACCCTCAGGGATGAACAATCTTTCAGACTTGCTGCCCAATAAACGCATATAGGTGCCACCTGCTCTTCTAGTGGCTATCTTGGTAGACTGTCTAATTCCCCAAACGTTGTATAACTCCCTGCATCATCCCTCCTCCCATGCCATCCCCTACCTGCCTCTATTCTTAAAGGTCTACTCCTGCTGTTCTTTGGTTTTCCTTTGCTTTTCTCCAGAAACTATTCAAATAAAATATAAATATGAACTTCTACTTTTACCTGCAGATTGTCAAAATCCAATAGGATGCACTTG